TACAACAACGCTGGAAATATTAGCATGTCAAATCCAGCAATAAGTGAAGAAGATAATTCAAACCCTAAAGATTCCAAAAGAAAGTTCTAAGAAATCAATTCAGCAAAGCTGCAGGATACAAAAATCAACATATAAAAATCAGCTGTGGTTCCACACACTGACCATAAAGAATCCAAAAATGAAATTATGAAAATTCTATTTACAAATAGCATCAAAAAGAATTAAATACTTAGTCATAAACTTAAAGAGGTGAAAGACTTGTATGCTGAAAACTATAGAACATTGCTGTAAGAAATTAAACAAAAAAGGCATCCTGTGCTCATGGACTGGAAGACAGTAGTTAAAATTCCCATACTACCCAAAGAAATTACAGAGTCCATGTGATCCCCATTGCAATCCCTCTCAAAATCCCAAAGACATTTTGTGTATGAATTGCAATAGATCCTAAAAAGCCAGAACAATCCTGAAGAAAAAAAGGTTGGAAGACTCACATTTCTTGATTTCAAAAGTTACTATATACAAAGCTACAGTAATCAAAACAGTATGGTACTGGCATAAAGACAGCTATGTAGACCAATAGAATATAAGAGAAGCAAACCCCCACATAGTCAAGTGTTTTCAACAAGGGTGCCAAGACCATTCTTTAACAAATGGGGTTGGTAAAGTGAGTATCTGCATACAAAAGGATAAGTAGACCATATACAAAAGATAATAAAACTCAGGGGAATGCTTCAAGACATTGGATTTGGTAATGATTTCCCAAATATAACGGCAAAAACACATGCAGTAAAAGAAAAAATAAACTGGACTTCATCAAAATTAAGAACTTTTGTGTATCAAAGGGCCCTATAACAAAGTGAAAAGGCAACCTGTGGAATGGGAGACACATTTCTAAATCATATCTGATAAGGGATTGATATCCAGAATACATAAATGACTCCTATAACTAAACTACAAAAACAGATTGAAAAATGGCAAAGGACTTAAATAGACATTTCTCCAAAGAAGACATATAAAATGGTCAATATACATAAGAAGGTCAGCATCCTAATCACTAGAGAAATGTAAATCAAAACCGCAATGAGATACCACCTCACACCCATCGGATGGCTATTATAAAACAATACAAACACCAGAAAATAACAAGTCCTGGTAAGGATGTAGAAAACTTGGAACCCTTGTGCACTGCTGGTGAGAATGTAAAATAGTGCCGCCCTGTGGAGATGGTATGGTGGTTCCTCAAAAAATTAAATATAGAATTACTATATGACCTAACAATTCCACTTCTTGGTATATACCCAAAAGAACTAAAGGCAGGGACTTGAGCAGATATTTGTACACTCATGTTCACAGTGGCATTATTCACAATAGCCAAAAGGGAGTAACAACCCAAATGTTCATGGCTGGGTGTATATACCAAATATGGTATATCCACACAATGAAATATTTTTCAGCTTTAAAAAGGAAAGCAATTGTGACACATGCTACAGTGTGCATGAACCCCGAAGACATTATACTAAGTAAAATAAGTCAACACAAAAGGACAAATATTCCATGATTCTACTTCTATGAGGTGAATAGTCAAATTCAATACCACTGAATTGTACACTCAAAAATTGTTAAAATGGTTTTATATATATGTATATCATCACAATAAAAAAAAATCAATGAATCTAATTGTGTTAAGTAGAATAATGACTCACAAATATGTCCACATCCTAATTGGAACCTATGACTGTGTTACGTTAACATGGCAAAAGAGAACTAAGGTTGCAAAGGAATTAAGGTCACTAATAAGCTGATTTTAAGACAGGAAATTATTGTATCACATGAGTTCTTAAAAGCCAAAGAGGAAGGTAGGAAGGTGGGTCAAAGAGATGCAATGTGATACAAGAAAGATACTGTCACTAGGTTTGAAGATGGAAAAAGGCCCCAAGCCAAGAAATGAAACAGTCCAAGAGGCCAGTGTATTAGTTTCCTATTGTCTCTAGAACAAAATAGTACAAACTTAGTGGCTTAACATAATTTGTTATCTTACAGTTCTGCAAATCAGCAATATGACATCAGTTTCACTGGGTTGAAATCAAGGTGTCAGCAGGGTGGCATTCTCTCCAAAGGCTCCAGGGGACAGAAAATCTCTTCCCTTGTCTTTATTAGCTTCTAGAGGCTGCCTAAATTCCTTAGCTCATTGTCTGGTATCAGATAATAACCTCTATCCTGTTGTCACATCTCCCTCTCTGCCCAACTCTTCTGCTTCCCTCTTTCACTTATAAGGATCCTTGTGATTACACTGGGTCTACCCAGATAATACAGGAGACGCTTCCATCTCAAGATCCTTAATCACATCTACAAAACCCTTTTGGCCTTGTAACATTCATAGGCTCTGGGGATCTAGGACATGGACATTCTGCCTACCACAGCTGGAAACAGCCCTCAGCTTATAGCCAGCAAAAACATACAGGCCTCAGTCCTAAAATGGCAGGGTACTGAATTCTACCAATCTAAATGAGTAAGAAATGGATTCTTCCCTAGAGCCACCAGCAAGGAACAGAACATGCCAATACCTTGACTTTAGCCTGTGAGAATGTACTGGGCCTCTGACCTACAGAAATGTTGTTCTAAGCCACTAATTTTGTGATGATTTGATATGGCAGCAACAGGAAACGAATACAGTAATCAATCATAATACAGGATAAAGGAGAAAAAATATCTTATTTCAGTGGATAAACATTTTAAATATTCTCAGCAATTAGAGATAGAAGAAAACTTCTCTAACTTGATAGAAGGCAGCTTACATCATACTTAATGGAGAAAGATTGAATGCTCCCCCCCGCCCAAGAGCAGATTAAGGTATGACTATCTACTCTTACCACTTCTGTTCAACATTGCACTGCAAATCCTAGCCAGTGTAACAAGAAACAGGAAAAGGGGTGGGGACAGAGGGAGGCATACAAATTGGAAATACAAATCCCTACTTGCAGATGATATGATCACGTATGAAGAAAATCTATGAAAGAGCTATTATTACCCATAAACTAAGCAAGGTCACAGAATACAAAGTCAGTCTACCAAATCAACTGTGGAATACCAAGCAATGAAGAATTGGGAATTGAAAATTTTTAAAAACTACTTTTTTAAAAGTTTATTTATCTTTGATAGAGAGAGAGAGGGTATGCATGTGCACATGCATGGGAGAGGAGCAGAGAGAGGGAGAGAGAGAATCCCAGGCAGGCTCCTCACTGTCAGTGCAGAGCCCAACATGGGCTATCCTTATGAACTGTGAGATCATGACCTGAGTGAAAATCAAGAGTCAGATGCTTAATTGACTGAGCCACTGAAGCACCCCACAACTAGTATGTATAGTGTCATAAAAATAGTAAATACCTAAGGACAGTATTAGCAAAGTATGGGCAAAACCTATAGACTGAAATATAAAGACCTAAGTAAATGGAGAGCTGTGTGATATTCATGAGTTGGAAATGTCGATTCTGAATTGCTCTATAGATTAAACACCATTCTCATCAAATTCCTGGCAAGCTTTTATACAAATTCCTGGCAACCTACAAAACATTGTGGAAAGAAGTAAAGACAACACAAATAAATGGAAAGGCATCCTGTATTCATGGATTGGAAGAGTTAATGTTGTTAAAATTCCATACTACCCAAAGTCATCTATAGATGCAACACAACCTCCATCAAAATCCCAATGACACTTTTTACAGAAATAGAAAAAAAAATCCATACTAAAATTCACATGGAATCCCAAAGGACTCTAAAGCACTAAAACAATCCTGAGAAAGAACAAAGCCAGAGGCCTCACACTTGCTGATTTCAAAACATATTACAAAGTTATAGTAATCAAAATAGTATGGTACTGACTATACTAAGACAAACATATAGACCAATGGAATGAAATAACCGAGAAATAAATCTTCACATATGTGGTCAAATGATCTTCAACAAGGATGCCAAGACCATACAATGGGGAAAGACCACACACTTTTCAAATGTCCACTGAATATCCTAACAAAAACTGTCAAAATTGTTCTTTTTCATGTTCATAAAATATTCTCATTGATTAATTCTGCTTTGGAGCACACATACCATAAAAATAACCCTAAGTAATGGGTAATAATAGAAAGAAATAAGTACTAAGATATCAGTGCAATGATATTTACAAAATAAAGATTTCTACTGTTTGGTGTTTGTATGTGTTTGCAAGAGTCAAAATGTAGCATAGAGCCACAGTGGAATAAAGTTATTTAGGCTAAGTCAATATTTAGAAGTGTATAAAGTATTACACAAAGATAAAAAAAAATATGGATTCACTGATTACAACTAGATAAAGTATGTATGCCTATGTCTATTGACAAAGATTAGAAATTAATGTGGAATGATGCAACTTCATAATCTTTAAATCTTATTCCTGTAAGGTTGTTTAAATTCATGGTAGACAAAATAAACATAAGAGATCTCAACAGTCTATCTCAAAAACAGTATTTTAACTTGCATTCTTGTAAGCGAACATGCATCTCACAAGTTTAAGTAAAGCTTGTAAAACTTATTCCTTTTGTCCTAACCTACTCCATCCAGTTTTATTACGAAATATATAATGTTCAGGGCACCTAGGTGGCTCAGTGTGTTGAGCATGTAACTCCTGATTTCGGCTCAGGTCATGGTCTCACCATTCATGAGTTGGAGCCCCATGTCAGGCTCTGTGCTGACAGTGTGGAGCCTGCTTGCAATTCTCTCTCTCTCCCTCTCTCTCTGCCCCTTCCCAACTGGTTCACACACACTCTCTCAAATAAACATTTAAAAACAAAAGAAATATATAATGTTCAACAGTTTACTTCAGATTAAATGACTTAAAAAAACTTATGAGCTATAAAACAGAGATTTAAAAAACTTTCCACATTTAAACAAACTTCTGTAAACTATCTACATCATTTATTCGTTTAGCACACAACACGGCCTCAAACTTACAAAAGCATCATACATACCTGATGCAATGACAGGATCTTTCATAAGCTCCCTAGTTATTGGACATAGAAATTCATCAGGAATTCCAGAAGAAAGGGTTTTCACCTCTGTCCTGAGCTCTTCAATTTTCCTCAGCACTTTACTCCGCAGCCCTAGAGATTCTGGAAAGAAATTATTCTGTCAGGGTGGGAGAACCTCTGGTAACCTTTATGCAAGTCTTTAGCAAATAGAGAGGTTATCTATTACAACCCAAAATCTTCACACATACTGTTTGACCACACGGAATGGTTTTCTTTATAAATTCTTTAACCAATATTTATAGTACAGAATATCGTGTGGTTAAAATAAATCAGCAACTAATGGTGAGTTTATTCTAAACAAGCTTAGATTCTAAAAGTTTGAGAATTTCAGACTGCTGAATAGTAATATACCGTACAACCTTAGAAAAGGCTTGTTGTTATTGGTTATGTATTTAAGCAAAAAATTTCCTAAGAACAATTTTTAAACATCTTCAGTTTAATAATGGAAAAATTCCATCTTATATGTAAAACATTTTTGAAATTGGAAATATTATTGGCCGATCTCATATGAAACACAATCATGAAGCTCATCTGTTTGTCCCAGACTGTACACACAAGTTAAACTCACTCATTTGCATTTTTACTTTATCAAGTTTTAAAAATTACCTTCATTTTCAGCTTCTGGAAGTTGAGAGTAATTAATTGTAGGAGGTTTAGTGTTATTAGCTGTTTATCTTTTTAGAACTGACAGTTCTACTTTATTTTTTTTTAACGTTTATTTATTTTTGAGACAGAGACAGAGCATGAACGGGGGAGGGTCAGAGAGAGAGGGAGACACAGAATCTGAAGCAGGTTCCAGGCTCTGAGAGGTCAGCACAGAGCCCGACGCAGGGCTCGAACTCACGGACCGTGAGATCATGACCTGAGCCGAAGTCGGACGCTTAACTGACTGAGCCACCCAGGTGCCCCAGTGACAGTTCTACTTTAGACAGAGACATGTGAAGGTAGGGAGGTGGGTAGAAGAAAAAAATTACATTTCACAACACCTCACAGTTTTCATGAAAAGCCAAATCAGCTTTTTATTTTGTTGGGGGGCAATTCTTCAGGGTGTTTATACACCCCTTATGATGACTTTTTTGCAGTAATTTGTGTCCTTCCCAGTCAGAGGGCAGATTTGTTCTGTGATAGGTACAAAGATAAAATGACTCTTGGGCTAGGTTTGCTAGTAATCCCCTCAAAAGATGAAAGAGTTTCGTGAGCTCAGGGTATCTCCGCTATGACACAGACACAAACTGCCCTCACAAAACTTCGGGGGGAAAGAAAAACCTTGAAGCTCATGCTGCTTGCTGTGCCCTGAGGAATACACTGTTTAAATCTGTTCGGATTCGTTGCCCACAATCTACGGAAGTGTGGCAAGTCAACCTAGCAGCCGCCTGCCTCTTAGGGACTATGGCACTGCTTTCCTAGGAATTCTTTCCTATGTAATTTACCGAAACCAAATTGAAGAGTTTTTAAACAGTTTTTTAAAAGTACCACAACATGTTTACAATTAGAAGTCATCTCATTTAAAGGGATAGTTATACAACATACAAGAAAAAGATATAGAAGCATTTAATATTATGAAAAATATATATTTCCCTGTCAAAAATATGGGTGCTAATATTTAGAATGCTTATGATTTTTATAATAGAGAACACAGAAAACCTATTTCAAAATGCCCCCAGATAAGAAAAAGTTAAATTGGGTGTTATCCGTGTCCAATTTTAATGTCATTTAAAAATGGAATCAGATCACTTTGCCCTCAGGGAAGCAATTACCAAGTGATATCCCCAGAGCTTAGCCAGAAACAAATATCTCCTTTTGTGACTGGGGGTTGGGAGTGGGTGTTATTAAATTTAATTGCTCAGGAAGAAAAGACCCTTACCAGCTGATGGCTAGTAAACCCTTAGTATGGGTAATGGGAACTATCTGGATATATTTATTGTAACTCTGAAAAGGCATGTGGTTCTTAATAAGATGTCAAGTTAAATAGGACAATTGCTGTACTCTCTTCTCCAACCCTGAAAATGCTACATAATTGAGAACTGATGGAGTCTACACACAAATAACAACCAAAGATATAAAACACAACTCTGAAAAGCCCCTAAGAAAATAGAGGTAACTGGGTTCCAGAGTGAGGGATGGAAGATGGCCACTTACAGCAGAGATATGTGTACACGAATGGAAGAGAGACCTTGATACCTCTACCGTTCTCTCTACCAGCTGTGTCCTGTATGGATCACTGCTGAAGCAGCAAGGCCAGCAATGGCTGGAGGCACCATAACAAGACAGAGCTGTCGCCCAGAACTAAGAAACACAGCTCATCAGGCTGGTCACTCCATCACCTCTCCACTGCCCAGAGAGAGAACAACAAAACCAGAAGCCAGTTTCTCAGGAAAGAACAGAACAACAAAAACATATTTAAAAAAAAAAAAAACTATTAAAAAAAAAAACCAACTCCTGACTAGAATGGTCAAGGGAAAACAAAGACGTACAAACGATAGGAAAAGAAAAGGGAAACATGATGATAGATACAAGTAGGGATTTTTTTCAAAAGGATTTGGATAAGTCGGTGGTAGAAGCAGTATAGTTTTTTAATTTCTCCGAATCTCCACATAAAAAAAGAGTGAGAGAGCAAAATCAAATCCCACAATCTCCGCAACAAAGTAAAGTGGCGAGGTGTCTCACAAACCCCACCGTATAAGCAGGCGAGGACAAACCACCAACCTCCACAGACCTGTGGTTGACACCTGTGTGGAAGTAACAGGACATCTGACCGGCCTAAGGAAAGGAGCCCCCCCCAAATGCCCACAAGTTCCTACTGGAAAGTGTGGTGGGCCAATTTAAGAGCAGCAACTGAACTGCCCAGTCCAGCAGCAGGTCCATGCACAGGCTCACAGTAACTAGACCAGAACTAAAGGGACTGTGTCACTTTAATCGTGTATAACAACAACAACAACAAAACAGTGAGTGTTCCAGTAGTTCATGATAGTTCACTTAGGCAACAAATGAAAATCTACATAAGGAAGTAGTTCTAGGAATTGAAGAAACTCAAAATCTAAGGATGCTCAGTTGCTGCATAAAGTTTGAAAAAGCATCTGATTGAACAATTTGATATTATAATTTTAAGCTAGAAAATGATAAAAATGTCTCATGTGCTTTATGGTTTCTTGGAAAGACAAGAGCAAAAGGTAGAAGAAGCCTTTTGAAGAAACTTCATTCCCAATTAGGACTCTATGATTGATAATTATTTGAATGTAGGTGTAAGGACTGACATGATATAGAATAGTTCTTCGGCATTTGTCATTCCAGGTTTCTACCACTATATCATCTACAGCAATTCCACACTCCAAGGCAGGCAGCAATTTAAAATTTCTGAGACCCAAACATAAACTGAAGCCAAGGTGCAGATGAAAGTCATGTGGCCAGATTTACTGCTTGCCTACTATCACATCTCAGAAGCGAGAGACTCTCGCTCTTCACCCTTCATACTTAATGACTTTTGAATGAGAGATTAAATACTATAGTGGAGTTCACAAATTCGTGGATTCACAAATGTCTTAAGACAGACCTCTCTCTCAATGTCAAGGATCTTTTGTACCTGCAATCTGTCTGGACATTTCTTATGCAAACGTGGGACTAAATATAAAGAGTTATCTTCTAGTTACAACTGGCTAGTGTACCCTGGTTTCCATTAACACAATCCTAAGAAAGGATGGTTATCCTAGATTAAAGCATCAAACTCCAGCAGATATTCAAGTCTATAGAAAGTTCCTTTATTATATATTTATAAAAGGCTCACTAGAAAATTTCATAGACTGCTTGATTCCTAAAAAGTAACTTTTTAAGTGTCAAACATAATAGATACACATACTTTGGTCTCTAACACCCCAATGTGCTTTACTGCACAATTCCTCCATATGACGAATACACAAATTCCTATTTACTTGCGTTGACTTAGGAACTGTTCTAACAATTGTATCACAAGTCAAAAGCAAGTAAGAGAGTTATGCATCTAAAGAATAAAATTCATTATCATTTACTCATCAGTTTGCCTCTTAGCACATTTTTTCTTTAGACTCAATTTCAATTCTCTATTATGCCAATATACTATCTTAAGAATACGCTTTTCTTAAAATTCAAGACTAAAAGAAATTCACGGTAGCTTAAAGTAGTACTTGTAGAAGATTAAAGTTAACTTCTTGATCCTTTATAATTCTTTATAATTCTATAAAAACTTTCAAATACTGTAGAATTATGTGAAAAAATAAATACCCTAGCCCATTACTAATTTATTCTGTTTAATTTGCCAACTTTCCAAATCTTAAACACACAGAATAGATTCGTTATTTACTAGAAAATGTTAACATTTTTGTCTCCATTCATAATAATAATTTTCCTAATTCCACTATTAGACCACTATACAAGTTAAATTATATTTCAATTTTGGCTTGGGCCTGATAGTTCTGAAACTTATTTCGCTGAAGTTTAAAATGATTGTAACTACTAATCCTGGGACTCATCCTTCAAAAACTATTTCAGATCATTAATTAAATCCTATAAGAATTTCTTATTATTTATTTATCTATCAGAATAGAATTCTATTCCTATTGTTTTTACTATGCTTCTTTTGTTTTCAAACATCCTTTGTTGAAATCTGAAATTATTGTTTTATAGTGTTAAGTGCTTCTAAATGATAAGGTACTGTTAAGATTTATTGTGAGAGAGTAATAAGAAATCAACTAATGAAGATGCAAAAATCAGCAGAAAAACAAACAAACAACCCTACACTCTGTTACCAACTTTCAGGAGGAAAGAATAAATTATAAAGGCAATAAGTCATTAGAAATACAAAAACAGCTCTCATAATATGGACGGAGTACAAAACCATCTGACCCTAAGTATTTTCACAAATCATCATTATGTTAACTTTTTAAAGGCCGTAAGATTTCAAGAGATTTAAATACACTCATATGCTATATTTACCATATAAGGAAAGTATAACACTATACTCCAAAATGGTTTTAATATTTTTTTTTGTTATTTGACTCTTCATTAACAATAAATCTCACTATGGATATCCTATTTTCTATGCTTTCTCAGTAGGATTTCATTATAGCATGTTAATAGTAGTGTCCGGTTATTAGTTTTATTACAGCATGACATTAAGTCTTCAAACTAGGGGCGCCTGGGTGGCTCAGTCGGTTGAGCACCCGACTTTGGCTCAGGTCACAATCTCACAGTTCGTGGGTTCAAGCCCAGCATAGGCTCTGTGCTGACAGCTTGCTCACAGCCTGGAGCCTGCTTCAGATTCTTTGTCTCCTTCTCTCTTTGCCCCTCCCCCACTCACGCTTTGTCTCACTCTGTTTGTCAAAAATAAATGTAAAAAATAAAAAAATAAAAACAAAAGACTTCAAACTATTTTTGATAAGGATCTAGTCTCCAGAACATAATAAACAACTCTTACAACAACTTAAAGACAAATAAACCAGTTTAAAAATATTTTTAACAATTTTAACTTCTCAGACATTTCTCTGAAGAAGATACATAAATGGCCAATAAGAACTTGAAAAGATACTCCATATAATTAGGTAAACACAAACCCAAACCACAATCTAATACCACTTCACATCTACAAGGGTGGCTATAATCAAGATGACAGGTAATAACAAGTACTGAGAAAGAGGTGAAGAAACTGGACACCTTACATATTGAAGCACTTACACATACAAAACATGGATGAACCTTGACAGCATTATGTTACATAGAAGAAGCCAGATACAAAGGGCACCTACTGTATGGTTCCACTTACAAGAAATATCCCAAACAGACAAATCCATAAAGACAAAGTAGATTAGTGGTTGCCAGAGGCTAGGGAGAGAGAATGGGGTTCTTTTGAGGGGATAAAAATGTTCTGAAAATAGACAGTGTTGTTGACGGTTATAAAACTCTATGAATACACTAAAACCACTGAATTATACACTTAAGGAAAGATGACTTGTATACTGAAAATGACAAAGCATTTTTAAAAGAAATGAAGAAGACCTGAATAAACTGAAAAACGTCCTGTGCTTATGGATTGGAAAACTTAAGATGACAATAATCCCCAAATTAATTCACAGATTCAATATAATCCCTATCAAAATTGGCTTTTCTTTTTAATGTTTATTTTTGAGAAAGAGCAAGTGGGGGAGGAGCACAGAGAGAGGGAAACACAATCCAAAGCTGGCTCTGCACTGTCAGCTCAGAGCCTGATGTGGGGCTCAAACTCACAAACCACTAGATCATGACCTGAGCTGAAATCAAGAGTTGGACACTTGGGGCACCTGGGTGGCTCAGTCAGTTAACTGTCCAACTTCAGCTCAGGTCATGATCTGGTGGTTCATGAGTCTGAGCCCCACGTCAGGCTCTGTGCTGATAGCTCAGAGCTGCTTAGAGCCTGCTTTGGATTCTGTCTCTCTCTCTCTCTCTCTCTGCTCCTCCCCAGCTTGTGTTCTCTCTCTGTCTGTCAAAACTAAAATAAACATTAAAAATTAAAAAAAAAAAAAAAAAGAGTTCGACACTTAACTGAGCCACCCATGCAACCGCGAAATAAGTGACTTTTTAAGGAGTGCACTTCTTTTTTTTTAAATTTTTTTTTTCAACGTTTATTTATTTTTGGGACAGAGAGAGACAGAGAATGAACGGGGGAGGGTCAGAGAGAGAGGGAGACACAGAATCGGAAACAGGCTCCAGGCTCTGAGCCATCAGCCCAGAGCCTGATGCGGGGCTCGAACTCACGGACCGCGAGATCGTGACCTGGCTGAAGTTGGACGCTTAACCGACTGCGCCACCCAGGCGCCCCAAGGAGTGCACTTCTGATGAGCACCAGGTATTGTATGGAAATGTTGAGTCACTATATTGTACACCTGAAACTAATATTATACTGTGTTAACAGGAATTTAAATTAAAACTTAAAAATAAATTAATTAATTAAATAAATCCACTTGATTTTAAACAGAAATTGACAAGTTGATTCTAAAATTCATATGGAAATGCAAGGGACCGAGAAAAACAAAACCAATCTTGAAGAAGAAAAAAAAAAAAAGAGGACCCACACTTTTCAATTTCAAAACCTACTACAAAGCTACAGTAATTAAGACAGTGTGAGCATAAGAATCAACAAATATGTCAATGATAGAATTAAGAGTCCAGAAATAAATCCTCACATTTATGGTCAATTGATTTTTAACAAGGGTGCCAAGACAATCCCAAAAGGCAAGAATAGTCTTTTCGACAAATTGTGCTAGGACAGCAGCTGGATATCGACATCTGAAAGAGTGAAGCTGGACCCCTATACTCATACCATATCCAAAAATGAAGTCAAAATTGATCACACACCTAAATGTAGGAGCTAGATGTATAAATTCATAGAAGAAAAACAGGTTTAAATCTTTGAGACTTAGAATTAGGCAACAGTTTATTAGGTATGACACCTACAGCCTAAGCAACAATAGGAAAAAAGATAAATTGGACTTCATCACAATTTTTAAATTTCTGTGCTTCAAAGGGCACTATCAAGCAAGTATAAGGCTAACCTACAGAAAGGGAGAAAATATTTCCAAATCACATATCTAATAAGAGCCTCATACCCAAATTTATATAAAAAATAATAAAAAGACAAATAACCCAGTTTTTAAAATGGCCAAAGGATCTTAACAGACAGTTCCACAAAGAAGATCTACAAATAGCTAACAAGCATATGGAAAGATGTTCAACATCACCAGTCACCAGGAAATGTATACTGAAACCATAATGAGAAACCACTAGGATGGCTATAATCAAAAAAACACATGTTGATGAGGATGTGGAGAAATCGAAATTCTTGGGGTGTCTGGGTGGCTCAGTCAGTTAAGTGTCTGATTTTGGCTCAGGTCATGATCCCTGGTTCACAAGTTGAACTCCCACATCGGGGGCTCTGTGCTGACAGCTCAGCGCCTGGAGCCTGCTTCAGATTCTGTGTCTCCCTCTCTCTCTACCCCTTCCCTGCTCGCACTGTCTCTCTCTCTCTCTCTCTAAAATATACAGACATTAAAGAAAATTTTAAAAAAAGAAAAGAAAAGAAACTGAAATTCTCATATATATAGCTGGTGAGAACATAAAATAGCACAGCTTCTTTGGAAATAGTCTGGCAGTTCCTCAAATGTAAGCACAGAGTTGCTATATGACCCACCAATTCCACTCCCAATTATACACCCAAGAAAACTGCAAACAGATACTACACAAAAGCGTGTACACAAATGTTCAGAGCAGCATTATTCACAATAGTCAAAAATGGAAACAATCTAAATTCAATCAACTGATAAATGGATAGCAAAAAGTGATAAATTTATACTGTGAAATATTAGTCATCTGAAGAAATGAAGCACTAATATATGCTATAGCATGGATGAACTCTGAAAACATGCTAAGCCAGAAAAGGGAGCATATTGTATGATTCCATTTCTATGAAATATCAAGAAGAGGCAAATCCTTAGAGACAAAATGCAGATTAGTGGTTGCCAGGAGCTAGAAAGAAAGGGAAAGAGGAGTGACCGCTCATGAGCATGGGGTTTCTTTTTGAAGGGATGAAAATGTTGTGTGATTAGACAGTGGTGATGGCTATACAACTCTGTGGATATACTAAAAATCACTGCATTGTACACTTATAAAAGGGTGAGTTTTATCATGTGAATTACATCTCAATTTCTAAAATAAATACATTTTGAAAATTAATTACATGGTGGCTTTAGTTACTTAAAGAAATACCACATAACATTTCTTTTCCATAATCTAACCTACATAATCCTTCTCTACAAAGAAATATACCAGCATAATTACTGTGCCAGAACAGTAAGAGGAAAGCATTAATACAACTGAAACCAATTTCAGAGTAAATTATTAAAAGTCGCTTTTAAGAATGCTCATCTTCCACTAATCTTACCAATTTTCAAATCATCAGCCAGACTTTCTTTGGTGAGATTCAACAATTCTCTTCCATCAATGTTATTCATTTTGAAAATACCAACAAGGTCATTTAAACCTTGGGCACAAAGCCACACTGAAACATCATCCTCTGACCAGTCTTCAGGAAATTGCTTCGCCTCGTCTTCTGTGCTCCTTGCTTAAAAACAAACCCACAAATAGAAAGGCAGGTAAAATAACAATGAAGGAAAGTATTGCCTTTATGAATATTCTCACTGAGAATTAAAAACTAAATAAAATTTCCTTAAAGCTGTGTTTTAGCAACCTTTTAAGAAATTTCAAAAAAATCAAATAACACTATGTACAGTTACAATATTATTTAATACTATATTAAATACTACTCTCTTGGAACTTTTCAGTCTAGAAAAACAATTTTTTATTATATAAAATTCATATCAGCAAAAGTACTCTACTCTATCGTCTGCATATCAGCACCACTATTCGGTTAATTCTGACAGTAATAAAAGTAAAATTCCTAAATTATGTGTCAACATTGCTTGATGAGGCCAAAAATAAAACGAACAAAGTAAAACTCTGCTTTCTATTTTGTTCTCAGGCTATATTTATCTGAAAAAGCAGTATGCGTACAAATAAATAGCTTATAAAAAAATTGGGAGGTATGATTTCCATGAATGTGCTCCTAAAAGGATTTACCAACAGCTTTAACATATATAAACTACTTGAAACACTAGATTCTCTAAAATTATTTTTAAATTATACATTCGGATATACACTTCATATTGAGAAAAAGCAAAGTGAGTAATTTGTTAAAAATTTACGTGATTTAAAAAAAATTTTTTTTAATGTTTTTTTATTTTTGAAAGAGAAAGACAGAGTGTGAATGGGGGAGGGGCAGAGAGCGAGAGGGAGACAGAATCTGAAGCAGACTCCAGGCATCGAGCTGTCAGCACAGAGCCTGACTTGGGCCTCAAACTCGTGAACCATGAGATCATGACACTTAACTGATTGAGCCACCCAGGTGCCCCCCAAAATTACAGGATTTTTTAATTTAACGGTGAATTGTATTGAACTGGGTTAAATATGATGCCCTTACTAACCTTGGCAAGGTGTTTCCAGATCAAATTGCCAGATGTTCACTGTTTTGTCCATTGAACCAGTAGCAAGTAAAAGGATATTGGGTGCAAAGGCACAAGTTGTGACATACCTAGTTAATAAAAACAACTATTATGTACCCTCAGACTAAATTTTTTATTATATTAATACAAAATAAGGTTAAGTTCAGACCTGGTGTGCTGAGTCAATGTGTGAAGTATATTCTCAGTATTCTGAAAAACAATAAAAACAGCTTTATATTTACTCAGGCAGGAGTAAAGTTACTGATAAAGGCTCATTTGACATAAATAGTTTATATGATACCAGTATTTTATTATAATTAGTCACTAATGTAAGTTGAAACTTTACCCAAAAAAAAGAGAACAGCCTCTATAATAATATTATCAGGTACTTATTTCACTCTCCATAATTAGCACTGTTGTCTGCTGACCACCCTCCTAGAAATTTTTAGTATAATAGATCCTGGGCTTCTGCTGATGGTTTTGAATTTACTAACAGTAGCCTAAACATCTATTACATGAAATGACCTGTATTTTTGCTATGGCATTTGACTTGTACCCAACTGCAGGACCGGTGAAGAGAAATTAGTCACTTAGATTTTGAGTACACTTAGCTGGCCATCTAGCATCTAGATGTATTTATTAATTTTTAAAAAGTGAAGTATAGTTCACAGTGTTATATTAGTTTCAAATGTACAATTAGTTGTATTTAGCTGAGATTCAGATACATATTTTATGGAGGAAGTTTAGTGTTCTAGCTATTCTTGTGAACGTAAAATCTTAAGCAAATTTGTTGAGAAACATTCAGGATCTACTTCACCCAGTTTGTATTCTTTTCCATCTCCTGCAGAGCACTCCACAATTTGAATTCCCACATAGAAGACTAGTTTAGATTCCTTGCTTGACCGACTACACTTTGATGATTAACATCTCTGGTTCATTTGCTAGCACGCTGCTGCCTGAACTCCATCATTGTACGGCTCCATTCAACATGGATTTCTCTTGAGGAATATTTTCATCAACCACATCTTTGCTACATGTAAAACGTTCATTTTTTTTTTTTTCATACTCATGCAACTCGGTCTTTATTCATATGGCTCTACCAAAAACTGCCATTTTCCCAAGTCTATTAAAACTTACTCTTCCTTCTATCAGTCTCTAAAGCCAGCCAGATCTCTACCAGTGGTAGCCCCTTTCAGCATCCACAACCCTGGGCTAAATATTCATTCTTTGCTATTATGGAAACCTGGTATAAAAATTTAAGAAAAATCAATTTGAAGTGTTTTTTGTTTTTGTTTTTTTTTTTGGATATTGGTGCTCTTTAAATCTGTATTTTCTTTGATCAGATTAATCATCTATCTTAGACATCTATCCATCTTAAAATCATTACTGAAATATTTAAGGGCCTGTCCCAGAACCAATAACTTGCATAACTATCTTAGCACTTTTGAAAATGTATATTCTTAGGCACTCTAAAAAGAAAAGAAAGTATTTTATCCATCTTGCCTAACAAAACTTGAAGTTCAGTACCCTAATAAACATAATTTACACATATCACACATGCAAGATTTTGAAATACTTACAGTATCATACACTATGACAGATTTATCCACTGATCTTTAAAAGAAAAAGGAAATTATGGGTGAGAAGTTCTATAAAAGCCAGGTAGTTATTAATATTTTTAAATCATTTAAATAACTTTTTTAGAAAAGGCTGAGATACTGATATACAAACATTTAGAATGCAAGCTTTTTGTTCATATGTATGAACTTTTATTCAAAAGACTACATGCCACATATAAAATTTTTCAGAAAATTATAAACTTTATTAAATACTAGTTTATTACTACCTTATTAATACTAGTATATGCTATTTATACCATCTAGCCATAAACAGAGTAAGCATTTATGATGTATAAATAAGACATAATCCCATATCAAGTTAATAACTCAAAGGGAAAAACCAGTATAAGGGAAAGCTATTTATAATTGACCCTCAAACAATGAAGGGATAGGGGCATTGATTCTCCTCTTCCCCATGCAGTTGAAAATCTATGTATGAGAAAGATACCATAGGATTTTTACCCATATATGGAATTTAAGAAACAAAACAGATGAACATAGGGGAAAGGAAAAGAGAGACAGAGAGAGAGAAGAAAGCAAACCATAAAAGACTTAACTATAGAGAACAAACTGAGGGTTGATGGAGGGAGGTGGGCAGGGGATGGGCTAAATGGGTGATGGGTATTAAGGAGGGCACTTGTGTTGAGCACTGGTTATTATATGTAAGTGATGAATCACTAAATTCTACACCTGAAACCAATATTACCATATATGTTAATTTCTAACTAGAATTTAAATAAAGACTTGAAATAAAAAAAATTAAAAATAAAAACTATGTGCAAATGTATATCTAGCTATATGGATATATGCATAAATACATGTATGAATCACAAAAATATTCTTGTCAAAAATGATACTATGAGCTACAATTCAAATCTCATTTAAGAAAAAAAAATCCACGTATAACTTTTGACTCTTCAAAAACTTAACTACTACTAAGCCTCCTGTTGACTGGAAGCTTTACCAACAACAAATAGTTGATTAACACATATTGTGTATGTTATATGTATTCTATACTGTATTCTTACAATAAAGCTAGAAAAAATAAAATGTTAAGAAAATCTTAAGAGAAAATACTGTACTGTACCAAAAAAACTGCATATAAGTAAACCCATGCAGTTCAAACCCATGCTGTTCAACGGTAAACTATACTTGTTACTTGGTTTTTGTTTCAAACATCATTGTTCTTTATCATTAATATAGCCATGACTTAATTACCAACCTCTCTCTCTACACACACACATACAAACACACACACGTCTTGTGACTCATTCCTGAAAACTGTAATTCTAAACTTGGTATGAACTCTGCAAGGTTTCTTTTAGTAGTATAAAATTAAAAACAGCCATCTGGGATTATTCTGGTGGTAAAAAGAAAATCACCAAAGAAAAATGCAAACATTGTAACAAAGTACATAATTAACAATAGATAAATGTGTTTCTGCATAGTATCTTCCCTCTTTAAAAATATATATGATGCTATGGGGCGCCTGGGTGGCGCAGTCGGTTGGGCGTCCGACTTCAGCTCAGGTCACGATCTTGTGGTCCGTGAGTTCGAGCCCCGCGTCAGGCTCTGGGCTGATGGCTCGGAGCCTGGAGCCTGCTTCTGATTCTGTGTCTCCTTCTCTCTATGCCCCTCCCCCCTTCATGCTCTGTGTCTCTCTGTCTCAAAAATAAATAAACGTTAAAAAAAAATTTTTTTTAAATATATATGATGCTATATATATGCTATATGCTACACCACGATATACGCTACAAGGTAAGATAATACAACAATATAAGTGTTACTAACGTCTGTACAACTTTAATACTATTTATAGTTATTATTATTAAAAGATAGCTGATAAGAGACCGCAGGAATCATACCTACTGGAGGGCTTAAAATTCCTTGTTTAGTGTAAGTTATCCAGGGTAGAGGATGGATTTTGACTGCAGAATCTTTATTATAAGTTCAAAATAAGAATTACACTTTAAATGTTCAAACGTAAAATAAAATACAAGAAAGTGGGAAGCACACAGAATGCTTTCTGGATGTAAAAAACAGTTACAGCATTAAATGTTAAATTCCAGCCAAAAAACACTGAAAATATTAATTAGCAGCTAACATTATTTGAGTACATATATACTAAACATAATTTGTGGATACTCTTATTGAGTCCTAAATTCCTCAAGGTACAAGGTATGATTATCAGAATATATAAAATTCTTAGGGAAAACTTTTACTTCTGAGCAGCCTAAAAAAGAAAACTAAAAGGAAATTCCACCTTCTTAACTACACGTAGTGCAATTAAAACTGACTCATCCTAATACTATAGCACTTGAAAAGCTGGATCACCATTAGTAATCTTTATGAGCATCTAATATTGGGAAGACAGAAATAAGGACAACAAGCAAGAGTTCACATATGAGAACAGCATGAAATAAGGCCGAAAATGTAGACTAGAACAAAAATACAAAGTACCCAAGAAATGTAGGCAATCCTGTAGGCAACAGATAGCCATGAAGGCAATGGAATAGGTTCACTTGATATTGAAGTAAAAAAAAAAAAAAAAGTGAATCTGAGAAGCAAAAGGCCAAACATTAAGATCTCCTAAGAGTCTAAACATCCAACCAAGAAGAATAGAAATTATGAATGAAGATGTGTGGACTTAGGAAGATAGAAAAGATTGTCAACTCACCTCCTATAACCTCTAATTTGACTAATGGGATTCAAAGAAAGATACCATAGGATTTGATAGCTGATTAGATTTAGTGGAAGGAAATCAGAGTTAGGAAAAAAATAATAGTTTTTAATATTTGAGATTTGAGTTGGAAAGACCAGGAGAATAACAGAACCACTGTAAACAGACACAAAATAAAATACTTTGAAATCACTCAAGCAATATAAAACCTCAAAATATTCCCTAAATTGAACCTGAACCAACACTGAACAAGAAGTCCAATTGTCTGGTGCCCCTGGTTATACATTTCCTGCCTGATTTATGTAACTCTTTCCCCAACTTTTCATATCTACATCCCACCACAATCTGCCCTGTCACTTTAAGCCCAGGTTTCCTTATAAAGGAAGTATTAGTTTTCAAGCCTTTTGATACTGCATTCCTTCAGTTTTGTGGTACTCTAAAACCTCAACTCCGCTCACTCAAGACTACAAGACAAACATGTCAATTATATCTAGACGGTTACTGGGTGAGAGCAATAATACATATTGTTATGTGTTTGATATTGAAGAGCACACATAGACTCATGGGTGATCAGTGACATTATGACATACAGCCACCCAGATCAGAAATCACCAAAGCATTTTAATCTAAACTAGCTTTATACAATGGCAAAAAAAACAAAACAAACAAACAAAAAAAAACCCTAATCAAATGAAATTACCAACATTTCTTTAGGTCAAGTGTGTTCCTAAGTTTTAAAGATTTATTTTACACTCAAGCATTTTTATTTTAAACGTATTTATCTATGGGGGTGCCTGGTGGCTCAGTGAGTTAAACATCTGACTCTTGATTTCGGCTCAGTTCATGATCTCTGGGTTGTGAGATCAAGCCCCTCATTGGACTCTGTGTTGAATGTGGAACCTGCTTAGGATTCTCTCTGCCCCTCCCCTAATCATGCTCGCTTGCGCGCTCTCTCTCTCTCTCTCTCTCTCTCTCTCTCTCTCTCTCTCTCAAAAAAAAGGGAGGGGTAATTATCTATGTTTCTTCTCACTCATAAAGTATTTGAAGTCTCTTACAAGATGTAGCAAAAACAAGGTAAAAATTATATGAGGAAACTGGAGACAAAGAGAATACAAAGATGAGGTGGGGAAGAAAAATAAAGATAAAGATTAAAAATAAAAATATATGTCATAAAATCCAGTCCACCTTGCCACAGGAGGGCTGCAAGTTTGGTTCTGAGCTTCTTTAGCAATTAAAAAAAATGTAGAAACACAAACTCCAAGTTTGGAAAAGAGACATCAATTCCTCAGACTGAGACCTGAAAGAACTATTTTCCCCAAGGTGTTAACAGAGAGGATACTATGACAAAAAGTCCTCAACAACTGTTTCAAAGACACATGGTTAATTTCAAACACTTAGTTTATAATACCCCTCAGTATAGGACAACGGTTGAAACTTCAAGCAGAAGTCAGAAAATGAGGAAGTAAAATGTTATGTTATATAACTGCCCAATGTTTTATATTACACAAAAAATAATAAACATAATGTTTAATAAACAATTATTATGCCCTCAAAATAAATAATGCTTTGCTGGAATTTTTTTTTTTTAAGTTTGTTTATTTTGAGAGAGAGAGAGCACACAGCAGAGGAGGGGCAGAGAGACAGGGAGAGAGAGAATCCCAAGCAGGCTCCACACATCAGTGCAGAGCCTGACACAGGGCTCAACCTCATGAACCAGGAGATCATGACCTGAGTAGAAACTAAGAGTCAGACATTGAACTGACTGAGCCACCCAGGTGCCCCCAGCATTTTCTTATTTAAGCTTCATAACAATCTTATGAGGAAAGTGTTATTACTTTCTCTATTTTATAATTCAGAGAAATGAAGTTGAGATAAGATATGGAATTAGAAACTGTTCAAGGTCACACAGCTAGTAAATGGCAGGACTGGGATGAAAACTAGTTCTATGTGATCCCAAAACCCAACTTTTTGCATTTTACTTCCTAGAACATCATCCCCCATGAATGTATTAACATTAAAATTGATTCATAATGGGGATGATTTTAGCCTAAAAACACATAAGGCAGATGACATGGCCATTCATATTTCATTAAAGCTTTCACAAGACATCTAATTTAAAGCAATGCAATATCTAATTTTATCTTTATTTATCTATTGATAAATCGCCATCATGCACTTTTAGGCTACTAAATGTACTGACCTGTTCTATAGGATTATAAACAATGTTGTAAAGAGATAGAGGGGAAAAGATGATTTTGGAAGAGTGATCTCAAGCCTTATTCTAGTCATTACTGAGCAAGAGAAGGTTGTTTGTT